AAACTTAGCCTTTACAAATGAGGGGTGCCACAGCGGCAAATTTCCCCCCAATATTTTAAGGAGATATTAACGAGCTCTTCCATTACAATCATTTTTTTCTACAGCACTGTACAGTTGTTTTATAGAAAGTTGTTAGAAACATTTGGCTCCAAAGCTTAGGAATATTGGGAAAAAACCACGAGACTTCCAGTTTCCAGGATAAGCTCCACCTCCTTGATTTGTGCCTCAGTTTGAGAGACAAAACCCACAGAAATCTTCACAATTTTAACTCTCCATCCACGTTAGCATGCCCAGGAGATCACGTCCCACTTCCCAGCTCTTGTCCCACTTCCTAGCTCTCATCTGTGTGGAAAAGAAGCAGTCAGAACCAGGCACCAGAACTCCCCGCAAAACCAACACGGCGGAGCAGGGCCACCAAGATCCCAGCCCGTACCTGGCCAGACAGTTTTCCTCCGCGGCGCATCGCAGGTTGTACATGGACATCTTCTGCACGTACGTGGACGCCTGGATGTAGTAGGGGTCGGGCACCAGGTCCGGGAGACCTAAACGTCAGCAAATGACAGGCGCAGCAGTAAGACAACCTGGCGCCCCCCACTCCAGTTTCTGATCCCTCCAGGTCCCTTACTCCTCACCCTTTCGCCCACCGGGACTGCAGGGTGGGGATGAGAGTGGCGGGAGAACTGGGGACGAACTGGGCAAAGCAAAGTGAAAAGGAAGCAGGAGGGGCCGGGCCCGCGGTTTGCACCAGATTCCAGGGCTGCCTCTGCAGGCGCGGGGGGAGGAATTGGATCTGCGGGGACCAGGGCCCGCCGCGCCCAGGCAGCCACGTCGAGGAGCCACATAGTTGGGGACCGGGTGCATGGGGGCTTCCAGTGGGCTGGGGGGTGCTTACCGTACTGGAAGTAGCCGGTGCCGTATCCGGGACGGTACCGGCTCCCAGGCCGGGGCCTCTCATACGTGTCATAGTAGTTGTAATAGGGGTTGTCATCAGTATACTTGTAGGGGTTGTACGGGTCGTCGCCCACCATGTCGTCCACGCGGCTGGGCGGCAGCAGGTTGCTGAGCTCTGGGACATCGCCCGGCGCGGTCTGGTTACTCGCGCGCGAGATGCCAGAGTCGCGGGCCCCGGACGAAGAGTAGCCAGCTTGGAACCATCGGCGGG